CAGCCACTGAGAAGGACTTGCTCTTCCGCCTGCTGCCCTCACGCCATTGGGCCACCCAGTAGCCGCCGTTTTTTTGGTCGTAGTAGACGAACCGCACGCCGCTCTGGTGGCCAGATCTCCGCTGGACTGATGCCCTCCCTGTGCGCTCCATCTCACAACGATGCTGCTCGGCTAGCGCCTGGTGCACACGACAGACACGAGAAGAGATTGACGACCGCCGTTGGCGTCGCTGTTGTCAGTACCTTAGCTTTGTCGAAGCCGTGATGTTTGACATAGAAATACTTGCTCTTCATCTTGGGGTCCCCCCTCTCGTACCAAGTCACCCTCCATGCTTTTTCCCTTTTCGCCCAGGAGACGGCACGGACGTCTGACCGGTACCTGCCTTCGCTGGCGTTGGGCGTCGGTGATCCGTCTTGGGCCGGAGGGCAGCTGCCGAGCGGATGTGTGTGGCGAGGCTTCGGTGATGGGCTGCTATCGACGGCTGACTCCTCATCGGCGGGCCCCGCCGACTGGGTGACTCTCTCCCCGCTCACAGTGGACTGAGGCCGATGACCATGGCGACGTTTGGCCGACAGACCTGGAGAAAACAATACAGACAGTCACAACTGCTGGGTGAGTATCACACACAGGGTGGGTACCTTTGTGACGGCGTGGCTCGTTGTGAGATGGCTCAGCCACCCAACCACCAGCAGCAGCAGGGGGCATACACGAGGGGCCGGGTGCACCGATGGGTGGCGCGTCGGTGGCGCGGCCAGGAGCGCTGCTCGACTCTGCACACACGAAAAGACAGCAGCAAGCACACAATGATATGCATCAAAGTCCCCCAGCCTCCTGTCATCCCGACCATGTAATGGCCTGCCTCTGCAGCCCTTGGGCTCAATGCGGGGCGGCATGGGGTCACGCTTGTCGAGTGGCGGCGGCATGGACCCGTGGCGCTGGAGAGGCGAGTTGCCATCCCCTGCTGCCCCTCGCTGCCTCTCCTCGAGCCACAAGAGGTCGATGAGCACCGCCTGGTCGCCCAGACGCGAGCTGTGCAGGGCGTTGCGATACTCGACGGCTTGGCGGAAGGCCGTCAAGATGGCCTCACGGGAGGTGACGTCCTCGCCGACACCGAACTGGCGAAGATCGACAGTGGCCGCAGCCTGGCTGTCCCAGAAGTAGCCCTCGAACACATAGATTGCCCGCCAGGAGACGCCGACACTGACACACACACATATCCAGAGACGAGTCCCTCATGACATCCGTCCGTCCATTGTCGCTGCGAGTCGTCCTCCCTCGCTTACCCTCCGTTGTTGAGGCAGAGGGAGTGGACATTTGGCTGCTCCTGACGCAGCCGCCGCATCAGTCCACGACCCAACGCGTCGCCCGTCAGCCCGCCCAGGTCGTAGCGGTCAGGCGCAGGCGAGAGGCCGCCATCCTCCTCGTCCATCCGCCGCTGCTTGTTTCGCTGGCTGCCATTGCGGCCCTCACGTGAGCCACTGCTGTCGCTGCCGCTCCATG